AACAGACCAGTGTAAGTCTCTGTCTCAAGGTCTTACTTGCTGTCACACAGAGTATCCTGGTAAACAGAGCCAGGACAAATTAACTCCCCCAAAAGTGAGGTTAACTCATCCAACCACATCTTCATAAAAAATGTCAAGCCATACTCACCTAGAATCATGTCCTGGGTGGCTGTTGTTTTATCCGTGACTAACCTGGCATTCAGGTGCCACATTTTTAACCCAGAGGGACCACTGTCACAGTTATCCAGCCTATCTGATTTGAAGGAAATCAAAACACCTTCTCTATCCCCTCTTCATGATGACATAACTGCCTTCCAGCTTGATATATCCTTCTACAGTCTACAGTTTTGGGGGCTGTTCTTTCCTTGAAAACACACCCTCCCATATATAAAAAAAGCAGGTAATAGGATGCAAATGGCCCTCAGTTCAATTGAACTGGAGGGTCCTCATGACTCCCTTAAAATGGCTCCCTTGAGTACATTTTTCTACAGCCCACATAGCATCAGTCTGAAGAGATGCAAGAGACAGAAGATTTGCATTGCCCAGCTTTCTCATCTGATGCTTGCTCAAGATAGGCTGTGCCAGCAAAAAACGAACCCTGCATATTTGGCTATGCTGAATGGCTTTGGTTTGTCCTTGGGCACAGGGAGCTGCTGCCATCTTGGTGTAAAAGCCTTGAAAACAGCAGAAACCTTTTAAGTGTGACCACTGTGCTTGTGTACATATGATACAAATTGTTGATTGACTGTAACCATAGGCTGTTTTCATAGTGGTGCCTAACATTAGTCAAGGATATTGAAGACTGATTGCTCTACTTGAAGGGAAATCCGATGGCATCCAGGTTTGTTTATCTTCCATAATGCAATATTCCTTAAGTTACTGGTAGCTACCCAATAGCACTGTGCAGAATTAGGCAAACCTAAACCTTGTGCCATTGCTAACCGTAATGATCAGTTCTGTTTATACACCCAAAGCTGTCAGGTGTTCTTTGGTCAAACATAGGGTTTGGAGAGTGGGGAGAGGCAGAAAATCATGAATGTTAACAGGAAAGTTTTGCATAAAATTTTTTTTTGTAGTAGGTATAGATGGTGTTATCTCTCTCAAAAATAGGTAAATGAGCTATTTAGAAATTTGGACACAAGTGGAGATATATATGCCAGATTAACATTTTAATCCTAGATGTGGGGCAACCCAACCTTTCTGTCTGTAAATATGTTAGCACATTTATGGATGTATATCTCCAAGCAATTTAAGCTGGTATAACAGTTGAAAGAGCTTCCACAGAGGTACCTGCATTAGTCTCTTTCAGCAATAACAAAACAAAAAGTATTTCAGTACCTTTGATACTAACAGATTTATTTTGTTGTGAGATTTCATTGATACAATTGATTTCTCCAGATCTGGGCCACAGGTTATTATACATGATAATATAGTAATGGGAATGGTGTGGGGATAGGAGCAAAAAGAATAGTCATTTAAAGAGTGAGCGACTGCAGCCAGAATTTTGTTGCAGAACCTTCTGCCATGCAACTTGAATGACAGTCATTTTGACATCATCCAAGCTGCACATTGTAAAATTACAGAACAGAATTCTGGGCACAGTATGTGGCTGGTTAACTCCGAGCGAATTCCTTGTCTGGACTATGATATTAGTTAGTATGTCTCTGGTTGCTTTCCTCAGTTTGATGACCTGCAGAAGTTTTGGACCACAACCTACATCAGCCCCAGCCAGTGCAGCAGTGGTCAGATAAGCTGTAGTCCAAGACATTTGGAGGTGACCAGCTTGGGAAAAGCATTTTTTTTCCTATGCCTAATGTCCATCACTCTTATCTCTAATCACAACACTAGTAGCAGCCATCATTTCCAGGCCCCGACATTGGCCTGGAACCCATATGTTTGCCTTTCTCTGTACATTACTTGCTGATTGTCCTGTTTTCTACTAGAGTT